GACGGAGCCATGAGAGAGTACAAAGTGGTGGTGCTGGGCTCGGGCGGCGTGGGCAAGTCCGCGCTCACTGTGCAGTTCGTGACGGGCTCCTTCATCGAGAAGTACGACCCGACCATCGAGGACTTCTACCGCAAGGAGATCGAGGTGGACTCCTCGCCGTCGGTGCTGGAGATCCTGGACACGGCGGGCACCGAGCAGTTCGCGTCCATGCGGGACCTGTACATCAAGAACGGCCAGGGCTTCATCCTCGTCTACAGCCTGGTCAACCAGCAGAGCTTCCAGGACATCAAGCCCATGCGGGACCAGATCATCCGCGTGAAGCGGTACGAGCGCGTGCCCATGATCCTGGTGGGGAACAAGGTGGACCTGGAGGGCGAGCGCGAGGTCTCCTACGGCGAGGGCAAGGCCCTGGCCGAGGAGTGGAGCTGCCCCTTCATGGAGACGTCGGCCAAAAACAAAGCCTCGGTGGATGAGCTGTTCGCCGAGATCGTGCGGCAGATGAACTACGCGGCGCAGCCCAACGGCGACGAGGGCTGCTGCTCGGCCTGCGTGATCCTCTGAGGCGTCCGCGGCTGCCGGGCGCTGGCCGGGCTCTGTGCACAAAAGCCAAACTCATCCGACTCTAAATGTGATTTCTGTTCATGCTTTGAGGTTGGAGACGACTTTGCATTGGTCGGGGTGTCCCGGGAGCCCTACTGGCTTCCGTGGCCAGCATCCCCTGCCATCTTCGTTGTCCGAAGGGGTTGTCCGGTCCTGACCATCTGAGACCCTGGTAGAAATGTGACTCTTTGCAACATGTACGTTTTTCATTGATTTTTGGTTGACGCATATTTCCCCGTTTAAGTAGCCGTTAGGGCGTTGTATTGGCAGCTTGACACCCGGCAAGCAAAAGTTTCAGCTTGGAAAAAATGGGGGTTGGGAGGTGGGGGAAGGGGAAGGGAAGGTGGAAAGGGGAAATCCCCCCTCCGTCTTTTGTTGTCAACAACTGTTTTCTATTTCCAAGTTTTAAATACATGGAAGGAAGTACGGGAAAAGCATATGAAGGAGCAGGAGGAGAGGAAGAAACTTTTGTTGTTTTTCTTTATTTTCCAGGAATAGCTGGAAATTAAAATCGGGTTCCTTTTCTACCAGCTTGGAAGGGCCACCCTGTGACTGATTGCGATTCTGAGGATGTCTATGCAAAGTTGGATTCTTGTTACAGTGTATCCAATCTGAAGTATTGCACATCTGAACTGGGACTGATAACACTGAGGCCAATACAGTGTGGGATGCCAGAAAGTATCTGCTGATATTTGTGGAAAAAAAAAATCTATTTTGTTTACCTACTGTATCAAAAGGGAGTCTGGGGGAGAATGGTAGTATTTTTTTTTATCAGCTGTGAAAAAAAATGTTACAGATCTGCACATTTTTTGTGTGTGTACTATTGTGTGTGTGTGTGTTTTTTTAAGTTTAGTTTTCTTTTTCTTTTGGTTGGTAGTAGCCTATTTTTTAAAGACTAGCTGTTAAAAACACAATACAAAGACTTTGTACATGTGATTCAGGGCCCCCAGCACCCCTGTGTCTGCAGAGTGCCTTCAAAACTCAGCTGTTCCAGCCGGTGCCAACCTGTGACCTCCCACCATATCCCAGAATCTGCTATTCCCCAAACCACTTCCCAGTTTCCTTTCTGTAATCTTCCTGAAGAGCCAGGACAATAGGGCCTGTTGTTTAGTGAATTTCTTTATCATTTTCAGCATTTTGAAGTGTCCATGTCTTGCAACCCCCCCCACCCTTTGGCCTTTGTTCAAATTTCAGGTATTTAGTTCCCCTTTTATATTACTTTTTAAATGTTTTCATTATTTCTCAAAGGGTATTATTCCTCCAGATGCAAAGAGCAAAATTTCACCATTGTGATGTATCAAGAGAATTCTGACTGTAATTCTTCATTCCACTCGTTTAATCACTGTCTCATTTTAAGACTTTTAATACAAACGTCATTTTAAAAGAAACAACCTTAGAACTATTGTTTGTGTTTCTGCATTTCATATTCAGTAGTTTATAGTATCAGTAGTAGTGGTACAATGGCTGAGGTGGATAGGGGCAAGTGAATGATGTCCTCAGAGAGTTGTCGAATTTTGAAGACATATCTCAGTGACAAGTTGGGTGATATTTCCAACTTCTTAAATAGAAAATCCTCAATGTCTAGGAAGCCCTGGGCATGGCTATAAAGTCTGACTACAAGATGAAAAGTATATTTTTATTATGTTCTGCTGACTTGGAGCAATGTATTCCACTGTAAGTAGGAAAAGGAAGAAAACTTCTAATACTGCCTTAGATCTGGAACAGTAACCATCCATCTGGCACCTTTGGTTTTTGAGTTGTTGTGTACGTCACATATCAATCTAAAGTATGTTTGGGAAGCATAGTTTATAAATCTGAAACTTTGTATTTTGCAGTGTACCTATATGAGTTATAGACAATATCCTAACCACTTCAAGGTTTTCATTTGGAAACTGTTAGATTACTAAAAAAAAAAAAAAAAGCGAAGACACTACACTCCTTGCTGTCATTACACTGCTGTTTGGACCATATTTGACCTTATAACTTTTCTTTGTAACAGTAGGAGGCAGTGTGAGCTTTTCTATTTATTTTTCTTTAAAATGTATTTAGTCAATGCAGAGTAAGAAAAATCTGTGTGTGTGTGTGTGTGTGTGTGTGTGTGTGAGTGTGTTTGCAGTACTGGAGACTGAACCCAAGGCCTTCACGCTGAGCTACATCCCCATCTGATTTTTTGTTTTGTTTTTTTAATTTTTCAGTTTGAGACAGGGGCTCACTAAATTCCTAAGTTGCTCAGCTGGGCTGGAACTTGGGATCCTCCTGCCTCAGCCTTCTTGAGTTGTGTGTACATATATTAAGAGTACTTGATATATCTTAGGTTTATGAAATGTAACTGAAGTCTGACAAAGGGATTTATTCCCTTCTCAAAGCCAAAAGAATTTACAGGTCAGAGAGTTTCTTTAAGCTGCATTAACATATCTTGCCTTAAACTGTTTCTCCCCAGGAGGCATTTTAGTATTTCAGTGTGAGGATGACCAGTTTGGCCTGTAATGGTCCTAGTGCCATTTTTTTTCCACTCTGAATTCACACTTAAACATAATTGGAAGGCAATATCATAAATATTCTAAGTAGAGAAACGGAGAGAAATTTCTCAAATGTATGCCTTTGCAAAGATTTATTCTGGCATTTGCCTAAATTTAGTGGCTTAAGTAGATCTAAAATGTTAAATTCTGACGATGTCCCAAGTACCATCTGAAGGATTTCTTTGAAAACGTATTTGTTCACTTACTTTTTAAGATGTGGGAACCTTTTGACAAAAATGCTCCAAAGTATACAGCTAATTTAAGAAATGTATATACTCCTGACAGGAAACATTTGAAAATGGAAAACTGGAAATGAAATAGATTTCTGGGTGCATTAATCACCTCCATATAGTATTTAGTCACTTGCATGACTAAATTCTTCGTAGGTGTAGGATGGCAAAGCAGGTTTTAATATGCCTTTACAAAGTACTGTAACAATTGTTTTTCTGCTTCTCAATTACAGCAGTTTTGTGTGTGCCTGGAGCAAGAAAATAGTAGTTCCAAAATCTGAGGTCTTTCTGCATCAATTTCTTAACCAAATTGAAATTTAAAGACATTCCTTTTACTTAAGAAAGAATATTTTTGAAAATGCGTCAGTTGATTTGGCTAGAAGAAGCCTTCTGGTATTATGGTGAGGAGGGATGAGAGCATTTGTTTCAGTGAAGAAGCTGGGCTGAGTTAAGAGTGTTAAAGGATACGGTCCATGAAGGAGGAGTTTGTTGTCAAGCAATCACCTGTCAAGACAAATTGGGTGGGAAAGAGCCTTTTAGGGAGCAAAACCTGGCTGTTAAACTTGACCCCTGCTGTTTTTTAACACCCTTTTCTTTTGGCCCATGCCAGTTAATCCAGGTTTTGTGTCATTTCAAAGGATTGTTTTTTCCTCCTTCTGTGGTAGCCTCAGAAAAGTTAAGGTATCATTTCAAGTCCGAGACTTTATCTTTGGGAGTTGCTTCATCTGTTTGAACTGTGGTTTTGTGGCAGTACTGCCTTTTGAATGATATCCTGGTATTTGTCACAGAGAGGATGGGAAAGTGAGAAAAGACCGTATGTAGTAACTGGCCTTGGGAAATAGATGCAAACTGTCTGCATCTGAACTGTCAAAAAGCGTAAGAGTTATTTTTTTACAACAGCCAGTATAAAGCTCTACATTGTAAATGTGAAAGAAACCAAAACTTAATGTGGAAATTACCACTGTTAGTTAATATGATATCAAACATTTGTCACAGTGTGCTTAATTAGGAAAAGCCTGCTAATATAAATTTTGTCTATGAAAATGCAAATTTTTAAATACTAACAGGTGCTATTCTTGATTATGGCATTTTATTTAGACAGCTGGAATCATTGAATGTATTTAGTTGAACAGGGCGCTCATGGTAGATGAGATGATCAATCTAATCATAGTAGGATTTTGATGACTTGAGAAGGCTTTAGGCATCGTTCAGAGGTTCTAAAACTTGGCCACATATCACAGTCACCTGAATTTCAAAACACATGTTGCTGGGCCCTCCTCTGGTTTCTTAGGCATTGGATCTAGGATCGAATCTCATAATTTCCATTTCTAGAAATATTTCAGGTGATGGTGCTGTTGTTGGCCTAGGGAACATGCTGAGAACCAATGATTTGGTCCAAACTTCCAAATGACTGTACCTAGAGCTACCTTGGTGTTTGGAGACACAGACTGAAAGCCCATGTATACATTGCAGAGTGCTCTCTGTACTGTCGTAAAATAATCTATAAGGGGCTGTGAGGTAGTTAAGTGGTAGGGCACTTGTCTAGTATGAGTGCGGCTCTGGGTTTACTTTTTTTAAAAAACCTTCATAGAAATTTACAGCTAAGAGGACATAATCAATTGCATTAAAACTGTTGAACTGTGGTTTATGAAATAATGTAGACATTGCAGGTAATTTTTGATCATTTGCACATTATGATGTGAACAATTTGTGGTTTCAGTGTTAATTCAGAGTTGGCTTGAAAGGAAGAAATAAATAGAAGCATAGCGTTATTGGTCAGAACCAACATACCATCCCCAATCCTTGAAAACAAAACTTTTGAAAATAACATCTTTGACAAAAGGGAATACTTTAAACTATTTGTCTAATCCTTGAACTTAAAAATGCAGTGTTTCAATTTTTCATGAAAATAAATTGTGTTAGAAAATTTAAATTATCAGGTCGTGTATATTAAGCACATATGTGTGTCTTAGATTTCCAGGCACAAGTTAATTCATTCTCATATAGTTCTGTTATAATCTATTCTTGGAAAAATGTGTACCTCAAAACTGTACCATACTCTTTATGTTGTTATTCATGGAAATTTCTATAATTCTATTAACAGATCTGGGTTTTGATAGTATGTTGGGAGCTTCCAAAATTTTAGTGAGTTGAAAACTAATAATAGTGGAATTGCTCATTTCAAATTTCTTATTTACAATTCCAAGAGTTGAGTACAAGTTCATAGGCTGAAGGAGTAATAGCTAACTTTTAGAAGTTAGAAAGTTTGAATAAGGAGAAAGGACTTTACTCAGATCTTATTCATTTTTAATATTTTTTGCATTTGGATTATTTGCTTGCCTTTCAATAGTTATAATAATAATAGAAGCTGAATAATTATTGAGTGTGGTAGGTTTTTGTCTCCTCTACCACTGATTGCTTTAAGATGCACATAAAATGAAATGATTGTGTTTTTATTTTTTTAATTTAGTTCGCCCATCTGGTAAAAGAACATTCTTATATATGTTGCTCTAAGTTTAAATTCTACTTTAAAAGTTAAACTGCTCTAAGTTTAAATCTTACTTTAAAAGTTGCAACCATTTATGACTGATAGTTTGATATCTATGACAGTGTTAGAGGGCTCCATAGTGGAAAAGCTACTGCCAATAACAGTGTGATGAAACACTTGACTTTGTTATATTTTTATCTTGGCTTTCATTTTATGGTTATTCTATGATTAATTTGGATCACTGCTACTTGACTTTGTTAAGCTGTTAAACATTTAAGGTTATATTTATTTGGGGATAATATATTTTGAAAGTGTCCTGTATTATGAACGCATTTACCATGTCTAAGACAATCAGACTTATTTTATAGTTCATTCTAATACTGGTTAACATTTATTAGAACTGAACTATTTTACTTAAAGAGAAGAAAATAATAAAGGGATGACAAGTTCTGAAGCCTTAATTAGTGAAATTATTTGTCTTGAGAAACAAATAGCTAACTGGAATAGAGAGGAAAACCAAAATGGCCTTATTGCTTTTGGAGTTTTGAGTGTTCATCTGCTTGGTAAATTGGAGAGAAGACCCGTTCGATT